GGGAGGGAATGACCGTGGCCGAGAAGACCTGCAGCTTCGTGCAGAGCGACAGACCAGGTAGCTTCCACACAGCGTTACGCAACCGATTAAAAGATAATGCCGCTCGACTGATTCGGAGTGAGACCTCTGCTGTTAAAACGAAGCCGGTCATGAGCACACTGCCCAGGTATGGGAAACTCTCCACTCTCTCCACAACTGCCCCATCTCCGATTGGGAGTTGTGGGGGTGGAGTGTCCGATGGTACAAAGTACCCAGGCGCCACCTCTTAGTGGCACGCTCCAGTTTCAGCAGCAGCATCTCCAACTCCTCCTCTGAAAGAGCAGCAATTACCAACTCATCGGCATACATAACGTGGTTGACCAATAGGGAGCCATCCCTTGACCGCACCCGGGCATCGATCAGCCTCCCATTATACCTGTACCAAATGGAAATTCCCCCGGTACAGCTATTGAAGGCTTCACGAACTACGTGGTCGAAATAGTTGTTAAATAATGTGGGAGTCAGAGGACATCCCTGTCGCACCCCAAGCTGTACAGGGAATGGCTCTGACTCCCGGCCACCTCGTTTTACCCGGGCCCGCTCACCATCATGAAGGTCTTTATTTATCATGAGCAGAGGGTCAGGGACTCCGAAAGCACGAAGAACAACCCAGAGCCCAGGCCTACTGATGGTATCATAGGCCTTGACCAGGTCAATAAAGCAGAGATGTAGGTCTTGTTGGAACACCCTACACCTCTGCTGTTGCAAACAGACAGAAAACATGGCATCTGTGCAGGACCGCCCTTTCCTGAAACCGCATTGGGGCTCCGCAAGCCTCTCCTCAGCGTGCCTAGCCAGACGATGTTGAATAATCCTTGCCAGGACCTTTCCAGGCACACTGAGGAGTGAGATGCCCGTGTAGTTGTTACAGTCTGTGTGGTCTCCCTTCTTAAAGAGAGGGACCACCAGGGCATCCTTCCAATCCTGCGGAACCCATCCATTGCTCCAGACTTTTGATATGTCATGTAGGGCAGTATGTGCACAAACGCCACCCTCCCTCAGCATTCGCTTGGGATATCATCTCTGCCTGCTGCCTTTTTACTGGTCTCAGACTCTGGATCGCCTTCAGTACTTCCTGAACAGATGGCACCTCAGCCAGCCACTCACAGGGGGTGACTTCTTCTTCCAATATTTGAGGCACTGCAGCCTCAGCAGGGTCATCCCTACTTTGTGCCACGATGTTTTCCTGGCTGAGGGATTTCCCCTCCCCCAGGACCTCACAAAAATGCCCAGCAAATCTGCAAACCTGTTCCTGGGGGTCGGAGATTGGATCACCGTTTTTTCCCCAAATGATGGTAATAGGTGTGGTGCTGCAGGTTACTTTTTTGATGGAGTTAAATAGGGATTTGTGATCGCGGGCCACTGAGGCAGACTCCGTCTCCTCAGCAACCCGCGACCTCCACCCATCCTTGCAGCGCCTCACGGCTCTCCGAACCTCCGAGCGAAGGCTGCGGTAAGCCTCCTCATTCTCTGGCGTGGCATGCTGTAGACGATTAGAGTGGGCCTGTCGCTTTTTCTCAACCATCCTGAACACCTCCTCTGTCAGCCAGGGTCTCTGGGGAGGTCTGGACCGCGTACCTAAGGCAGCCATTGCAGCTGCATGAGTCACAGTCCTAAACCTCGCCCATTTACCATCGACATCAGGAGGAGTGGGCGACGATGCCAACCCCAGCGCAAGCGATGATGAAATTCTCGCTTGAAACTTTCATCAGCTAGCTGAGACCAGGCCACTTTAGATAGGAATTGGGTCCTGGGTGTACACACTTATGAACAACACCCCCACTTACGAACACCACCCCCACTTATGAACACCACCCCCCACTTACGAACACCACCCCCACTTACGAACACCACCCCCATTTACGAACACCACCCCCACTTACGAACACCAGCCCCACTTACGAACACCACCCACTCTTAAGAACACCACCCCCCACTTACGAACACCACCCCCACTTACGAACAACCTTCCATGAGATATGCATATTTTGTTTTAACAGCGAACCGAACCGCGCAACGATTTTGTTCAGCTGAAGAGATCCTCCCGCGAGATGTAGTGAGTCGGCCTCGCAACTAGGAGTGAGCGTTTGCGTGTGTGTGAGAATGAGTGAGTGTGTGTGAGAATGAGTGAGTGTGTGTGAGAATGAGTGAGTGTGTGTGAGAATGAGTGAGCGAGTGTGTGAGTGCGTGTTTGTGAGTGTGCGTGAGAATGTGTGTGTGAGTGTGTGTGAGTGTTGTGTGAGTGAGTGAATGTGAGTGTGTGTGAGAGTGTGTATGTGAGAGAGTGTGAGTGTGTGAGTGAGTGTATGAGTGAGTATATGAGTGAGTGTGTGTGTATGAGTGTGTGCGTGAGTGTGAGTGAGTGAATGTGAGTGAGTGTGTGAGAGTGTGTATGTGAGAGAGTGTGAGTGTGTGAGTGAGTGTATGAGTGAGTATATGAGTGAGTGTGTGTGTATGAGTGTGTGCGTGAGTGTGTGAGTGTGTGTGAGTGTGTGAGTGAGTGTGTGTGAGTGAGTGTGTGTGAGTGTGTGAGTGAGTGTGTGAGTGTGTGAGTGAGTGTGTGAGTGAGTGTGTGAGTGAGTGAGTGTGAGTGTGTGAGTGTGTTAGTGAGTGTGAGTGTGTGAGTGTGTGTGAGTGTGTGAGTGAGTGTGTGTGAGTGAGTGTGTGTGAGTGTGTGAGTGAGTGTGAGTGTGTGAGTGAGTGTGTGAGTGAGTGTGTGAGTGTGTGTGCGTGGGTGAGTGTGTGTGAGTGTGTGTGAGAATGTGTGCGTGAGTGTGTGTGAGTGTGTGTGAGAATGAGTGTGTATGTGCGCACATGAGTGTGTGTGAGTGTGTGTGTGCGTGAGTGTGTGTGAGAGTGTGTGAGTGAGTGTGTGTGAGAGTGTGTGAGTGAGTGTGTGTGAGTGTGTGTGTGCGTGCGTGTGCGTCCGTGAGTGTGTGTGAGTGATGTGTGAGAATGTGTGAGTGAATGTGAGTAAGTGAGTGAGTGTGTGAGAGTGTGTATGTGAGAGAGTGTGAGTGTGTGAGTGAGTGTGTGTGAGAATGTGTGTGAGTGAGTGTGTGTGTATAAGTGTGTGCATGAGTGTGAGTGAGAATAAGTGTGTGCGCACATGAGTGTGTATGAGTGAGTGTGTGTGTGCGTGCGTGAGTGTGTGTGATTGTGTGTGAGAATGTGTGAGTGAGTGTGTGTTTGTGTGTGCGAGTGTGTGTGTGTGAGTGTGTGTGCGTGAGTGTGTCTATGTGTGTGTGAGTGTGTAAGTGAGTGTGTGTAAGTGTGTGTGTGAGTGAGTGTGTGTGAGTGTGTGTGTATGAGTGTGTGTGCGTGCGTGAGTGTGTGTGTGCGTGCATGAGTGTGTGTGTGTGAGAATATGTTAGTGAGTGTGTGTGAGTGTATGTGTGTGTGAGTGCGTGAGTGATGTGGTACAGGAGGACGTGGAGCTGAGTGGACTTGCCGATGACCGGTACCAGCGGCGTCAAGATCGGCCTCTGTGGAGGAGGCTCGTGAAGGATGCTACTGGGCAGTTGGAGGCAGTCGCCCTCCAACAACAACGGAGGGCGGAGGAGCGACGCTCACAACAACGAGCGGAGCGCCGGGTGGCTAAAGCACAGAAGGTTGGCAGAGTTGGGGGCACAGTTGGGGGCACAGGTGGTGCATCAGCCAGTCATCTCAGTCAGTTGACCCGTGGCACCTGGGTCTGCCCCGTGACCTCCTGCCAGCGGGCGTTCGACACTTCACGTGGCCTCAGGGTGCACATAGCCTGGCACAAGCGTCGTGGTGACATTACCGCCACTTAGTGGTGAATGACGGTTGTTGTTGTTGTTGTGAGTGAGTGTGTGAGTGAGTGTTTGTGAGAGTGTGTATGTGAGAGAGTGTGAGTGAGTGAGTGTATGTGAGAATGTGTGTGAGTGTGTGCGTGAGTGAGTGTATGAGTGAGTATATGAGTGAGTGTGTGTATGAGTGTGTGCGTGAGTGAGTGTGTGTGAGTGAGTGTGTGTGAGTGAGTGTGTGAGTGTGTGTGAGAATGAGTGAGTGAGTGTGTGCGAGTGCGTGTCAGTGCGTGAGTGTGTACGCACATGAGTGTGTGTGAGTGAGTGTGTGTGAGTGCGTGAGTGTGTGTGAGAATGTGTGAGTGTGTGCGCATATGAGTTTGTGAGTGTGTGTGCGTGAGTATGTGTGAGTGTGTGAGAGTGTGTGAGTGTGTGTGAGTGCGCATATGAGTTTGTGAGTGAGAGTGTGTGAGAGTGTGTGAGTGTGTTTGAGTGCGTGAGAGTGTGTGTGTGTGCGTGAGTGTGTGAGTGTGTGAGAGTGTGTGAGTGTCTTCATAGGTGCTCGCTAACGGCACTTGCCCCAACAGTCTGTTAAGGCTATACTGGGGGATCTTTGTGAGTGAGTGAGTGTGTGCGAGTGAGTGTGTGAGTGAATGTGTATGTGGGAGTGTGAGTGATTGTGAGTGATTATGTGAGTGAGTGAATGTGAGTGCTTGAGTGAGTCTATGAGTGAGTATATGAGTGAGTGTGTGTGTGAGTGCGCGAGTGTGTGTTCGAGTGTGTGTGAGTGTACGAGTGAGTATATGAGTGTGTGTGTGAGTGAGTGTGTGAGTGTATGAGTGAGTGTGTGTGTGAGTCTATGAGTGAGTGTGTGAGTGAGTCTGAGTGTGTGTATGAGTGAGTGTGTGAGTGAGTGTGTGAGTGTGTGTGAGTGAGTGTGTGAGTGTATGAGTGTGTGAGTGAGCGTGTGAGTGTGTGTGAGTGTGTGAGTGAGTGTGTGAGTGAGTGTGAGTGTTTGAGTGAGTGTGTATGAGTATGTAAAGTGCGTGAGTGTGTGTGAGAGTGTGAGTGTATTAGTGAGTGTGTGTGTGTGAGTGTGTGAGTGAGTGTGAGAGTGTGTGTGTGTATGAGTGAGTGTGTGAGTGAGTGTGTGTGAGTGTATGAGTGAGTGTGTGAGTGGGAAGATGATCATACCTTCAAGATGTGGAGCTGAGTAGAGTCTCCCAGATTCTGTCTCTGTCTCTCTCTCTCACACACAGACACGTGTGTGTCTATATATACACACGTGTCTATGTGTCTATATATAGACACACGCGTATCTGTGTGAGTGTGTGTGTATTTATAGACACGTATGAGTGTGTGTGATGAGTGTGTTACTGTGTGTGTGGCACAGTGTGTGTGTGGGTGAGTGTGGGTGGCCGAGTGTGTGTGAGTATGTGTGATGAGAGAGTGTGTGGGTCAGTGGGTGTGTGGGTGAGTGAGTGTGTGTGTGTGATGGAGTGTGTGTGAGTGGGTGTGATGAGTGTGTGAATATGTGTGTGTGGGTCAGTGGGTGTGTGGGTGACTGTGTGGGTGTGTGTGAGTATGTGTGATGAGTGTATGTATGTGTGTGGGTCAGCGATTGTGCGGGTGTGTGGGTGAGTGTGTGGGTGAGGGAGCGTGGTGGTGAGGTGTGGGAAGCTGTAAGCCCCAGGATACTTTGGGCTCGCCTTCCCATCAACCAGAGGTGAGCAGTGGTGGTCGTGGTTACTTATGCCCCCACTTAAGACGAACATCCGTGGAGGGATGCAGGCAAGGCCGATGAGTCAGATGCCTTCTATGACCTCCTGTCACAGGTGCTAGCTAAAGTGGCCCCTCGGGATAGAGTCATCTTGTTGGGTGACTTCAATGCCCGAGTTGGTCATGATGCTGGCACTTGGTTTGGAGTGATTGGAAGGCATGGGCCAGATCAGCGCAATAACAACGGCAGGAGGCTGCTCGATTTTTGTGCAGTCCATGGGCTTGTAATTACCAACACGCTGTTCCGGCATCGGCGCATCCACGCAACATCATGGATGCATGCCGGGTCCAAGCAAGAACATTTGCTGGACTACGTAGTCACGGACCAGCGGATGCGGGCCCATGTCCTTAACATCAGGACCTACCGTGGAGCTGATCTGCCCACTGACCATTGACTTGTCATCTGTAAGATGCGCCTGCCATTCTTCCACTCCAGTGGTGGGTGTATACCCAGGACCCCATTCAAACCCTTAGTGGCATGGTCTCAGCGAGCTGATGAAAGTTGCAAGCGAGAATTTAATCATCGCCTGCGGCTGGGGTTGGCATCTTCCCCACTCCTCCTGATGTTGAGGGAAAATGGGCGAGGTTTAGGACTGTGGCTCATTCAGCTACAATGGCTGCTTTGGGTACACGGTCCAGACTTCCCCAGAGACCCTGGCTGACAGAGGAGTTGTTCAAGCTGGCTGAGAAAAAGCGACAGGCCCACTGTCATCGGCTACAGCATCCCACGTCAGAGAATGAGGAGGCTTACCGCAGCCTTCGCTCGGAGGTTCGGAGAGCCGTGCAATACAAGCAAGGATGGGTGGTGGTCGCGGGTTGCTGAGAAGATGGAGTCTGCCTTAATGGCCCACGATCACAAATCGCTCTTTAATTCCATCAAAAAAGTTACCTGCAGCGCCACACCTATTACCGTCATTAGGGGAAAGAACGGTGATCCAATCTCCGACCCCCAGGAACAGGATTGCAGATTTGCTGAGCATTTCTGTGAGGTCCTGGGGGAGGCGACATCCCTCATCCTGGATAACAACGTGGGACAAAGTGGGGATGACCCTGCCGAGGCTGCGGTGCCTTAAATATTGGAAGAGGAAGTCACCCCCTGTGAGTGGCTGGCTGAGGTGTCATCTGTTGAGGAAGTACTAAAGGCGTTTCAGAGTCTAAAACCAGGAAAGGCACTGGGCAGAGATGATCTTCCAAGCGAAATGCTGAGAGAAGGTGGCGTTTGTGCACAGACTGCCCTACATGACATCATAACAACAGTCTGGACCGCTGGATTGGAAGAATGCCCTGGTGGTCCCCCTTTTTAAGAAGGGGGGCCGCAGAGACTGTAACAACTACAGGGGCATCTCACTCCTCACTGTGCCGGGAAAGGTCCTGGCAAGGATTATTCAATATCGCTTTGCCAGGCACGCTGAGGAAAGGCTTGCGGAACCCCAATGCGGTTTCAGGAAAGGGCGGTCCTGCACAGATGCCATATTTTCTGTCCGTCTGCTACAGCAGAGGTGTAGGCAATGCCAAAAAGACCTGCATCTCTGCTTTATTGACCTCGTCAAGGCTTATGATACCATCAGTAGGCCTGGGCTCTGGGTTGTTATTCGTGCTTTCGGAGACCCTGACTCTCTGCTAACGACCATTAAGGACCTTCATGATGGTGAGCGGGCCCGGGTAAAACTACGTGGACTGGGGGTCGGAGCCATTCCCTGTAGACCTTGTGGTACGACAGGGATGTCTTATGGCTCCCACATTATTTAACATATATTTCGACCACGTAGTTCGTGAAGCCTTCAATAGCCGTATCGGAGGAATTTCCATCTGGTACAGATACAATGGGAGGGTGACCGATGCCCGGGTGCGGTCAAGGGATGGCTCCCTATTGCTCAACCATGTTATGTATGCTGATGATCTGGTAATTGCTGCTCACTCAGAGGAGTTGGAGGCGCTGCTGCTGAACCTGGAACTTGCCACTAAGAGGTGGGGACTTACCATTAGCCCCACCAAAACTAAACACCTGCCTGGGTATTTTGTTCCATCGGACACTCCACCCCCACAACTCCCAATTGGTGATAGGGCAGTTGTGGAGAGAGTGGAGAGTTTCCCATATGTGGGCAGTGTTCTCATGGTCGGCTCCGGTTTAACAGCAGAGGTCTCACTCCGAATCAGTCGAGCATGGTCTCAGCGAGCTGATGAAAGTTGCAAGCGAGAATTGAATCATCGCTTGCGGCTGGGGTTGGCATCGTCCCCACTCCTCCTGATGTCGAGGGGAAATGGGCGAGGTTTAGGACTGTGACTCATTCAGCTACAATGGCTGCTTTGGGTACACGGTGCAGACTTCCCCAGAGACCCTGGCTGACAGAGGAGTTGTTCAAGCTGGCTGAGAAAAAGCGACAGGCCCACTGTCATCGGCTACAGCATCCCACGTCAGAAAATGAGGAGGCTTACCGCAGCCTTCGCTCGGAGGTTCGGAGAGCCGTGCAATGCAAGCAAGGATGGGTGGTGGTCGCGGGTTGCTGAGGAGATGGAGTCTGCCTCAATGGCCCACGATCACAAATCGCCCTTTAATTCCATCAAAAAAGTTACCAGCAGCGCCACACCTATTACCATCATTAGGGGAAAGAACGGTGATCCAATCTCCGACCCCCAGGAACAGGATTGCAGATTTGTTGAGCATTTCTGTGAGGTCCTGGGGGAGGCGACAACCCTCATCCTGGATAACAACGTGGGACAAAGTGGGGATGACCCTGCCGAGGCTGCGGTGCCTTAAATATTGGAAGAGGAAGTCACCCCCTGTGAGTGGCTGGCTGAGGTGTCATCTGTTGAGGAAGTACTAAAGGCGTTTCAGAGTCTAAAACCAGGAAAGGCACTGGGCAGAGATGATCTTCCAAGCGAAATGCTGAGGGAAGGTGGCGTTTGTGCACAGACTGCCCTACATGACATCATAACAACAGTCTGGACCACTGGATTGGAAGAATGCCCTGGTGGTCCCCCTTTTTAAGAAGGGGGACCGCAGAGACTGTAACAACTACAGTGGCATCTCACTCCTCACTGTGCCGGGAAAGGTCCTGGCAAGGATTATTCAACATCGCCTTGCCAGGCACGCTGAGGAAAGGCTTGCGGAACCCCAATGCAGTTTCAGGAAAGGGGGTCCTGCACAGATGCCATATTTTCTGTCCGTCTGCTACAGCAGAGGTGTAGGCAATGCCAACATGACCTGCATCTCTGCTTTATTGACCTCGTCAAGGCTTATGATACCATCAGTAGGCCTGGGCTCTGGGTTGTTCTTCGTGCTTTCGAAGACCCTGACTCTCTGCTAACGACCATTAAGGACCTTCATGATGGTGAGCGGGCCCGGGTAAAACTACGTGGACTGAGGGTCGGAGCCATTCCCTGTAGACCTTGTGGTACGACAGGGATGTCTTCTGGCTCCCACATTATTTAACATATATTTCGACCACGTAGTTCATGAAGCCTTCAATAGCTGTATTGGAGGAATTTCCATCTGGTACAGATACAATGGGAGGGTGATCGATGCCCGGGTGCGGTCAAGGGATGGCTCCCTATTGCTCAACCATGTTATGTATGCTGATGATCTGGTAATTGCTGCTCACTCAGAGGAGTTGGAGGCGCTGCTGCTGAACCTGGAACTTGCCACTAAGAGGTGGGGACTTACCATTAGCCCCACCAAAACTAAGCACCTGCCTGGGTATTTTGTTCCATCGGACACTCCACCCCCACAACTCCCAATTGGTGATAGGGCAGTTGCGGAGAGAGTGGAGAGTTTCCCATATGTGGGCAGTGTCCTCATGGCCGGCTCCGCTTTAACAGCAGAGGTCTCACTCCGAATCAGTCGAGCATGGTCTCAGCGAGCTGATGAAAGTTGCAAGCGAGAATTGAATCATCGCTTGCGGCTGGGGTTGGCATCGTCCCCACTCCTCCTGATGTCGAGGGGAAATGGGCAATGTTTAGGACTGTGGCTCATGCAGCTGCAATGGCTGCTTTGGCTACACGGTCCAGACCTCGCCAGAGACCCTGGCTGACAGATTAGTTGTTCAGGCTGGTTGAGAAAAAGCGACAGGCCCACTCTGATCGGCTACAGCATCCCACGTCGGAGAATGAGGAAGCTTACCGCAGCCTTCGCTCGGAGGTTCGGAGAGCCGTGAGGCGCTGCAAGGATGGGTGGTGGTCGCGGCTTGCTGAGGAGATGGAGTCTGCCTCAATGGCCCGCGATCACAAATCTCTATTTTATTCCATCAAAAAAGTTACCTGCAGCGCCACACCTATTACTCTCATTAGAGGAAAGAACGGTGATCCAATCTCCGACCCCCTGGAACAGGTGTAGTGGGTTCCAGGACACGGAGACGGCGGAGTAGAAGCAGCACTATTTATTTAAACCTTAACAAGGGTTACACTAGAAGGGGTAGCGGCCCCTTTACCCGTATAACTCAGGAACACACCCCAGGCTCTCT